GGGCAAAGGGGGTGTTGGGAACCGGTGGCAGGACGTGGTACAAGGAGGTGGCGGAGGTGGTGGTGGTGGTGGAGTCTATTTCGTGTGTGTTGACCCGAGCGTGGCTGCCGTGCGGGGGGACGTGGAAAGGCGCCAGCTGGCCTTTGGGGGACTCGTTGTCCTCGGCGGTGGGGCCTTGCTCCGAAGCCCTCAGGGGAGCGGGAGAGGAGGCCGAATAGCCGCTCCTCAGCCGGATGGCCGCGCCGGCAAGGGCTTTGCTCGCGGCGAGTTTCCGCAGCCCCGATTTGGGCATTTTCTCCCGCGGGGAGGCGGCGTGGAGGTCGTTCTCCCTGGGAGCAGGCCCGTCGGGGGTCCGTGGTCTCTCGTGGAAGTCCTCCTCCAAGGAGAAAGCAATGGGTGGCGTGTTCTTGATCCCAACTCTTCTCTTGCATCTTGCAAGAAGGTGAGGACAACCTTTCTTAAAATTTGGGTTATGATAAAACTGTAACTGGGGTAAAAGCAGAGGAAGAAACGTGGTTAAGCCCCCAAGCAGCAACGTGGGATCAACATCCAAGACCTATCGTTTCATTTTTATTTACAACAGGTTGCTCCAGAAATATGGATTTCACATCTGTAGCCATCTTTCCATTGGGTTGCTGTAGGTTTTTTCGGGCTATACAGCCATGGTCTAGAGCAGTGGTTCTCAACCTGGGGTCCCCAGATGTTTTTGACCTCCAACTCCCAGAAATCCTAACAGCTGGTAAACTGGCTGGGATTTCTGGGAGATGTAAGCCAAAAACATCTGGGGACCCCAGGTTGAGAACCACTGGTCTAGAGGGAAAGAGATTTAAAGTCAGAGATAGTGAGGTCTGTTGGAACGAGGAAAATGGGTTTATATATCTGTGGAAAGACCAGGGTGGGACAAAGGACTCTTGTCTGTTGGAGCTGGGTGGGAATGTTTCAACTGACTACCTTGATTAGCATTTGATTGCCTGGCAGTGCCTGGAGCAATCTTTTGTTGAGAGGTGATTACCGGTAGTCAGACTACACAGAGAAGCCATTGAAATCCACAAGCATGTGGACAATGTCAACAGAAAGGAGGAAACCATGAAAATGACAAAATCTGGCTATCAGTATTAAAAAACTCTAAAATTACAATTCAGGAGAGAAACAAACAAGGACATCTAATCACCTCTCAACAAAAGATTGCTCCAGGCACTGCCAAACCATCAAATGCTAATCAAGGTGGTCAGTTGAAACATTCACACCTAGCTCCAGCAGACAAGAGTCCGTTGTCCCACCCTGGTCATTCCACAGATATATAAACCCATTTTCCTACTTCCAACAGACCTCACTACCTCTGAGGATGCTTGCCATAGATGCAGGCGAAACGTCAGGAGAGAATGCCTCTAGAACATGGCCATATAGCTCGAAAAAAACCTACAACAACCCAGTGATTCCAGCCATGAAAGCCTTCGACAATACATCTTTCCATTCTTACACTCCATCAACACCAAAATAGACTTCAAAGGATGACGGGTTGGGGGGGCACAACTTTTAATACAATAATAATAATAATAATAATAATAATAATAATAATAATAATAGGTGAGTTGAGACTCCACGGAAACCAAAAGGATGATGGGTTGGGGGCACAATTTTTAATATTATTATTATTATTATTGAGTTGAGGCTCCATGGAAACCGGAATAGACTTGGACTCCAAAGGATGATGGATTGGGGGCACAACTTTTAATATTATTATTATTATTATTATTATGAGTTGAGGCTCTGCGGAAACCGGAATAGGCTTGGACTCCAAAGGATGACGGGTTGGGGGCACAACGTTTAATATAATAATAACAAAACTTTATTTATACCCCGCCACCATCTCCCCAAATATTGTAGTAAACGAAGGGTTAACAAAAACAATTGCTGGATATTGTTGAAATGACATTTTTCCTGAACTATAGAAAGCATTGCAAATGAGTTGAATTTTACTGAATCCATAATTTTGATTTAGTTGGGATTTTTTCCACGTTTGGTTCCAGTCATAACAACCAAGGAAACCAAGTGACACTACCTAAAATCTCATTTTTGGTGCTCCATGCAGTCATGCCAGTGGCCACATGACCTTGGAGGCGTCTAAGGACAACGCTGGCTCTTTGGCTTAGAAATGGAGATGAGCCCCAGAGCCCCCGAGTCAAATAAACTCAATTACAAGTTGAATAACATTGTGCAATTACATTAGTGGCAATTCCCCTCAAAATAGCATGGATTAAAAGTCATCAAATGATGGTAACTTATGTAATTGTTTACAATCAACTGTAAATTAAATTTTCTACATAACTATGACAAACATATCATTTGTTTGCAACCAAGTTTGTGTATGTTTCATTGGAATACACTCGTGAAACAAAAGGATTTTTGCTGAATGTTTGCCACTGAATGTTTGGGTTACTTTTGGAGTCCCTTCAGGGAGAGAAGGGCAGGTTAGGGATATATTATTATTATTATTATTATTATTATTATTATTATTATTATTAGAAACACAACAAGATGAGTCCACAACAGGCACTCGGTTGGTTGTTTATTATTATTATTATTATTATTATTATTATTATTATTATTATTAGAAACACAACAAGATGAGTCCACAACAGACACTCGGTTGGTTTTTTATTATTATTATTATTATTATTATTATTATTATTATTATTATTATTAGAAACACAACAAGATGAGTCCACAACAGGCACTCTGCTGGCTGTTTATTATTATTATTATTATTATTATTATTATTATTATTATTATTAGAAACACAACAAGATGAGTCCACAACAGACACTCTGCTGGCTGTTTATTATTATTATTATTATTATTATTATTATTATTATTATTATTATTAGAAACACAACAAGATGAGTCCACAACAGACACTCGGTTGGCTGTTTATTATTATTATTATTATTATTATTATTATTATTATTATTATTATTAGAAACACAACAAGATGAGTCCACAACAGACACTCTGCTGGCTGTTTATTATTATTATTATTATTATTATTATTATTATTATTATTATTATTATTATTAGAAACACAACAAGATGAGTCCACAACAGACACTCGGTTGGCTGTTTATTATTATTATTATTATTATTATTATTATTATTATTATTATTATTATTAGAAACACAACAAGATGAGTCCACAACAGACACTCTGCTGGCTGTTTATTATTATTATTATTATTATTATTATTATTATTATTATTATTAGAAACACAACAAGATGAGTCCACAACAGACACTCGGTTGGCTGTTATTATTATTATTATTATTATTATTATTATTATTATTATTATTATTTGAAACACAACATGATGAGTCCACAGCAGACACTCTGACTCTAGGCTTCTATTATTATTATTATTATTATTATTATTATTATTATTATTATTATTGGGTTGTTGTAGGTTTTTTCGGGCTCTATGGCCATGTTCTAGAGGCATTTTCTCCTGACGTTTCGCCTGCATCTATGGCAAGCATCCTCAGAGGTAGTGAGGTCTGTTGGAAGTAGGAAAATGGGTTTATATATCTGTGGAATGACAAGGGTGGGACAAATTAAACAAGACCCAACTTCCAAAATAACCAGAAAAACCAACACTCTGATTAAGAACTCCTCAATCAACTTCGACATACGACAACAGCTATGTAAATCGGAAGCCCTTCCACCCAGGCTTTATGGACTCCCAAAAATCCATAAGGACTCCACCCCACTCAGACCCATCGTGAGTGCCATTGGATCCCCCACGTACGACTTGGCAACATTTCTTGCTGCACAGTTACAAAGCCATATTGGGCTCACGACACACTACATCAAGGACTCAGCCCACTTCATAGAAAAAAACAGCAATCTCAAGCTAAATACCAACGACAAACTGATCAGCTTCGATGTGGTGTCTCTATTGACCATGGTCCCGGTAGCAGACACCATGGCACTCATCAACCAGAGGTTCCCAGAAGACATCACAACTCTGTTTCCCCATGGCTTCACCACCAGCTACTTTCAGTGGGACAATGAATTCTACAAACAGAAAGATGGAGTAGCCATGGGGAGCCCCCTCAGCCCGGTCATAGCTAACTTCTACATGGAGCACTTTGAAAACCAAGCCCTGGAAACAGCAACCAAAAAGCCCACTCTATGGTTCAGAGATGTGGATGACACCTTCACCATTTGGAGCCATGGAGAAGAAGAACTCCACAGGTTCCTGGACCATCTCAACAGCATCCACCCAAACATATGGTTCAGAGATGTGGATGACACCTTCACCCTTTGGAGCCATGGAGAAGAAGAACTCAACAGGTTCCTGGACCATCTCAACAGCATCCACCCAAACATATGGTTCAGAGATGTGGATGACACCTTCACCATTTGGAGCCATGGAGAAGAAGAACTCAACAGGTTCCTGGACCATCTCAACAGCATCCACCCAAACATATGGTTCAGAGATGTGGATGACACCTTCACCATTTGGAGCCATGGAGAAGAAGAACTCCACAGGTTCCTGGACCATCTCAACAGCATCCACCCAAATATATGGTTCAGAGATGTGGATGACACCTTCACCATTTGGAGCCATGGAGAAGAAGAACTCAACAGGTTCCTGGACCATCTCAACAGCATCCACCCAAACATATGGTTCAGAGATGTGGATGACACCTTCACCATTTGGAGCCATGGAGAAGAAGAACTCCACAGGTTCCTGGACCATCTCAACAGCATCCACCCAAACATATGGTTCAGAGATGTGGATGACACTTTCACCCTTTGGAGCCATGGAGAAGAAGAACTCAACAGGTTCCTGGACCATCTCAACAGCATCCACCCAAACATATGGTTCAGAGATGTGGATGACACTTTCACCATTTGGAGCCATGGAGAAGAAGAACTCAACAGGTTCCTGGACCATCTCAACAGCATCCACCCAAACATATGGTTCAGAGATGTGGATGACACTTCACCATTTGGAGCCATGGAGAAGAAGAACTCAACAGGTTCCTGGACCATCTCAACAGCATCCACCCAAACATATGGTTCAGAGATGTGGATGACACCTTCACCCTTTGGAGCCATGGAGAAGAAGAACTCAACAGGTTCCTGGACCATCTCAACAGCATCCACCCAAACATATGGTTCAGAGATGTGGATGACACTTCACCATTTGGAGCCATGGAGAAGAAGAACTCAACAGGTTCCTGGACCATCTGAACAGCATCCACCCAAACATATGGTTCAGAGATGTGGATGACACTTTCACCCTTTGGAGCCATGGAGAAGAAGAACTCAACAGGTTCCTGGACCATCTCAACAGCATCCACCCAAACATATGGTTCAGAGATGTGGATGACACTTTCACCCTTTGGAGCCATGGAGAAGAAGAACTCAACAGGTTCCTGGACCATCTCAACAGCATCCACCCAAACATATGGTTCAGAGATGTGGATGACACCTTCACCATTTGGAGCCATGGAGAAGAAGAACTCAACAGGTTCCTGGACCATCTCAACAGCATCCACCCAAACATATGGTTCAGATATGTGGATGACACTTTCACCATTTGGAGCCATGGAGAAGAAGAACTCAACAGGTTCCTGGACCATCTCAACAGCATCCACCCAAACATATGGTTCAGAGATGTGGATGACACTTCACCATTTGGAGCCATGGAGAAGAAGAACTCAACAGGTTCCTGGACCATCTCAACAGCATCCACCCAAACATATGGTTCAGAGATGTGGATGACACTTCACCATTTGGAGCCATGGAGAAGAAGAACTCAACAGGTTCCTGGACCATCTCAACAGCATCCACCCAAACATATGGTTCAGAGATGTGGATGACACCTTCACCCTTTGGAGCCATGGAGAAGAAGAACTCAACAGGTTCCTGGACCATCTCAACAGCATCCACCCAAACATATGGTTCAGAGATGTGGATGACACTTCACCATTTGGAGCCATGGAGAAGAAGAACTCAACAGGTTCCTGGACCATCTCAACAGCATCCACCCAAACATATGGTTCAGAGATGTGGATGACACTTCACCATTTGGAGCCATGGAGAAGAAGAACTCAACAGGTTCCTGGACCATCTCAACAGCATCCACCCAAACATATGGTTCAGAGATGTGGATGACACTTTCACCCTTTGGAGCCGTGGAGAAGAAGAACTCAACAGGTTCCTGGACCATCTCAACAGCATCCACCCAAACATATGGTTCAGAGATGTGGATGACACCTTCACCATTTGGAGCCATGGAGAAGAAGAACTCAACAGGTTCCTGGACCATCTCAACAGCATCCACCCAAACATATGGTTCAGAGATGTGGATGACACTTTCACCCTTTGGAGCCGTGGAGAAGAAGAACTCAACAGGTTCCTGGACCATCTCAACAGCATCCACCCAAACATATGGTTCAGAGATGTGGATGACACTTTCACCCTTTGGAGCCGTGGAGAAGAAGAACTCAACAGGTTCCTGGACCATCTCAACAGCATCCACCCAAACATCCAGTTCACCATGGAAAAAGAAAATGAAGGAAGACTGCCTTTTCTAGATGTCCTAGTCATCCGCAAACCAGATCAACAATTGGGTCACACCGTTTACAGAAAACCCACACACACAGATAGATATCTACATAAAAACTCCAACCATCACCCAAGTCAAAAAAGAAGCACCATTAAAGCCTTGGCAGACCGTGCAAGAAGAATCTGCGAAGCCCACCTCCTCCAAGATGAACTGAACCACCTCAACTGGGCTCTCCAGGCCAATGGAGACTCCACCTCAGACATCAGAAGAGCTGCAAGACCACCGAGAAGAAGCCACGAGAGTCAAGACAGAGATCCACCCAGAGGGAAAGTGTTCTTGCCAGACATCAAGGGAACCACTGACCACAGAGGGAAGCTGATGAGGAAACACAACATACAAACTATCTCCAGACCCACCAAGAAAATCCAACAAATGCTCCGTTCAGCAAAGGACAAGAGGGATCCTCTCACTTCTGCAGGAGTCTGTGTACCACGCAGCTGTGGACAAGAAGTCTCCAGAGGGACCACCAAACACAGCGCCCAGACACACATCAAGGAACATGGAAGGCACTGCAGACTCCTTCAACCAGAGAAGTCAGCCATAGCAGAGCACCTGATGAACCAACCTGGACACAGCATATTATTTGAGAACACAGAAATGCTGGACCACTCTCACAACCACCACGTCAGACTTCACAGAGAAGCCATTGACATCCACATGTGGACAATTTCAACAGAAAGGAGGAAACCATGAAAATGAACACAATCTGGCTACCAGGATTAAAAAAACTCTAAAATTAGAACAGCACAACAACAGAGAGGAAACAAACAAGGACATCTAATCACCTCTCAAGAAAAGATTGCCCCATGCACTGCCAGGCCATCAAACAAGCCACACCAAACAACTGCCAGGCCATCAAATGCTAATCAAGGTGGTCAGTTGAAACATTCCCACCTAGCTCCAGCAGACAAGAGTCCTTTGTCCCACCCTTGTCATTCCACAGATATATAAACCCTGTTTCCTACTTCCAACAGACCTCACTACCTCTGAGGATGCTTGCCACAGATGCAGGCGAAACATCAGGAGAGAATGCCTCTAGATCATGGGCATAGAGCCCGAAAAAACCTACAACAACCCAGTGATTCTGGCCACGAAAGCCTTCGACATTGTTTGCAAATGCCGGCCTCGTTTTGGTGGAACAGGATGGATGGGGCTGTCGGCGTGAAGGATCAGAACTTGTTGGATTAATTCAGGTTGTCTTCTACTCGGAGCGGAACCTCTTTGAGTGTCCTCTTCTGCCCTCGATGGAGATGGAGATTTTGAGAGAGCGCTTGGACGTGCCCTTGGGGTCCGTCCCCAAAGCCACGGCCAGACCTTACCTTGCTGAAGGCGTAGGCCGCCTTTTCTTCGGCCAAGAATTCCACCAGGGAGGCCGATCTCTGGAAGTTCTGCCTCATCTTGCTGAAGCCATAGAGGTTGAGCTGGCGGATGAAGCTTTTCATGCAATCCGTTTCGAAAATGCGCAGCGGCCCTTTCCTCTCCAGGACCTCTTTCTTGAAGAGCTCCTCGTCGATCACGACGCACGTCCCGTCCTCGTCCCACCACAGGGACTTGAAGTGCTCGCTCTCCACAATTTTCCAGAGTTTTTTGGGGAAGGTGAGGGAGAGGAAGTCGCTGTCCTCGAGAGAGCCGTCGTCGTCGCAGAGGGAGAGCCGGGGTCTCTTTGGCCAGGGAGCGTCGCTCAGGGCTTGGAAGGCATTCTCCTCCAGCATGGACCTCAAGGCCGAGTCGCCAGCCGCCGTCTTGTCGTGCAGCGGAGTCGAAGAAAGGGAGATGGAGGAGTGGATCCTGTCCTCTTCGGCTGGAAGGTACGACGACGGGGCTTGGCCAGGAGGAAGGTCCAGGTCCTGGTCGCCCTTGTCGCTCAGGTAACTCTTCTCAGCTGCAGCCATGGGCGCTCTGAGTCCAGCCTTGCCAAGAAGGCAGCATCAGGCCTACTAAAAGGGAGGACAGCCTGCCAGGAGCTGGAGCTACAATCAAGAGTTCCAGAACGTCACAATGAGACCCGTCCTGTGTCGGTGTGACATCACAAAACGAACTCTGGTTTCCTAGCAAGTGAAGCCATAATGAGGGGAACATCACTGGGAACATCACTGAGCGCACCCTCACTCAACCAAGGAGGCTCTGAGGGTCAAGCATGGGCTTCCAAAGGCTTCTCCAAACAATGGTCCAGACCCATTGCGTTTGAAATCGAACTCGAGGCATGAGGAAGTGACCAATCCTGCTCATGTTATTGGTTACGAAATTAGTCTTAATAATAGTAATAATAACACTTTATT